GATTTCTTGACCTTGATTCCAGTGATATTTGCCCCTTTCTCAATTCCCAAATCATTGTACATCTTCCAGCTGCATTTGACTATGTAGTTCTGTGTAAGGCCAGTGAAAACTTACAGAATCATAGAATAGTTAGGGTTGGAAAGGACCTGAAGATCATCCAGTTCCAACCCCCTGCCATGGGTAGGGACACCTCACACTAAACCGTATCACCCAAGGCTCTGTCCAACCTGGCCTTGAGCACTGCCAGGGATGGAACATTCACAACTTCCCTGGCAACCCATTCCAGTGCCTCACCACCCTCACAGTAAAAAACGTCCTCCTTATATCCAACCTGAATTTCCCCTGTTTTAGTTTGAACCCGTTACTCCTTGTCCTATCACTGCAGTCCCTGATGAAGAGAAAAGCTTGTGTTTGTTTCTTTTAAAAGATAAATAACAACCACCACCATTCTGCCCTGCTTTAGCTGTCTCAGGGCAGAAGCCTGCTGCCGTTGCCTTTATAAAACTGATGTATCTGTGTTTTATAGGGAGAAGAACAGCAATAAAAGGAGTGTAACAAGAGTGTTAGTGCTGTGACTTGTTGGGGTTGTGGCAGCATTAGACGTTATCTTGGAATGTGCTACAAATGGCCATCAGCATTGAAAGGAACTCTCTGGTGGCAACAGAAAGTCAGGCTGCTAATAGCTATGAGAGCAGAGCTAGCCTGCATGGAGCAGCATTGGTATGCTCCTGCCTGTGACTGCATGACCACATTCATTAAGCCAAAAACAGGTAGATGATGAGATGATTTCCCTTTCACAAGTTCTGTGGGGTGAGCAGACGATGTGAGGTAAAGGTCTATATTTACTAGTAAAGGTTCAAAGCAATCCAAATGAGAGAGGGTAAAGTCACATGCAGTGTGCTTAGGGTTAATGCAGAGCCCACCTGAGCTGTGCTCAGAGTTCTCTGCTATTGGCTTACAGCAGGGGAGGGAGGCAGAGGGAGAAAATCCAGCTTAATTTAGGCAGTGACGAGTGGGTTGCTGTGCAGGATGTTTCACTCCTGGATGTCTGGGGTGATGCAGATGCTAAAAAAGGAAGCACATTTTCTCATCATATCTTTGCAAGCAAGGTGTCATGGGTGGCAGCTCAGCCAGCCGGCATCTTCCAGTGAGGCTGCTTAAGGGGCCTTGGGGGGAAGTCTTAATCATATATAAAATTACAGTGCTGTGATACTTTCCCTTGCCCTGTCCCCCTACTTCTCCATGCTTTTGGGCTGGCTGATTCCACATCACAGCCCTTTTGTCCAGGCGTTGGCATTTGCTTTTGTATCTGGACACATCAAATATGACACCCTATTTTATTCCAGAGCTATAGATTAAATACGTTAGGATATATCTTCAGACTGAGCAGGCCTAGCCAGACTATGTGAAAGAGAGAACAGGTATGTGCAGCATCGCTGGCAGGGAATCAGGGGGAGAAGCTTTTGCTTGGCCATAAATTGCTGCTGTCAGGGAGTGCTGTTATGAGAGAGATTGAATTCAATTTTCATGCACAATGTCTGAGCAAGTGGACGTTGCTTATGGAGATTGCAGCTACTGGCATCGCAGGCAGCCCAGGGAGACAAGGATTTGGGTAACTGTGTGTCCACTGCTCTCAGGTACAATCATTTTTGTTCCCTACTTAGGATTGATTCTGGGCGAATACATTATTTTCTTGATATTCCTGGATAGCCACCTTCTGATTTGGTCTTTCTGAAGTCATAGTGCAGTGCTTATATTGAGAAATGGCTGTCATACAGCTGAAGATTCTGAGCATGGACACAACACATATGAACATGTGTCACTTCCCATTTCTTATGAGAACCAGTGCTATGGAATGTCTAGTCTTAAGTCTTCCTTCAGCTCAAATGCATTTCCATATAGTGTCTTTTGTGGTATGCTCTTCTTTAGCTCATAACTGCATATGGGAACAGTACTGCTCACTCTGCTTTTTAACCAGTACACTGCGCTTTCCTCCTCCTCCTGATCTTGGCACAGCTGAAAGCATAGACATGCAAGGAATGGGAGGAGGCAAGAACCGGGGTTAAATGAAGGCAAAGCACAAGGAAGCTCAAGGTCAAGGTGTGCAGTTTGTTAGGCTCTGGTATGAAGCCACAGAGAACCATGGTGGGTGCTGCTCTGGCATGGGGTTGTGGACCACTGGTCTTACCTCATGGCCCTTTTAGTTGCAGCATGTTGTGGTTGCAGGTTAGGCTGATGCACATTGTGTTTAGTGGGATACCGAGATCCTGCCTGCATATGCTGTGTGAAGATGACATTCAGCTAAAGGCTTTAATGTGCCTCATGCAGGCCTGAGATCATAAATGGCTTTTATTTGTAGAGTTTGGATGAACAAATGGTCTTTTCCTAGCCCAGCCTAGCCCTATTTGCTTTCTATTTTAGGACATAATGATAATTGCTAGCTTTTCATCTCTATGCCCAACAGTTTTGCCAGAGTTAAAATCAGGTTTAGTTAAAAGCCATCTCAGCCTAATAAGACAGTACTGGGATGTTAGTTTACTTTGATTCCTGACATTTGATGTATCTGATACTAGCAGAATGGAAATAATGATGTTAATTTACTCTTGGTGAGCACTTCAAGGAACCCAGAAAAAGTAATTAAATGCTATTGTTGCTATAAAATAACAAAAGCACGTTATCAAGCCCTTGTATCGCACACAAACAGAAGAATAAGTGTGGCTACACCACCTTTGGCTTACAAAGAAGCAATGGTTCCCTACTTCCTCCATGTAACTGGCTTTGGAACTGATCAATATAGAGATACTTGACTAGGTGGACCATTTGTGTAAGGCAGTGTTTCTGTTCTCACTGCTTCAGAACTCAGAATCAAAATGAAGCCCTTTAAGAACCCTTTCTTGGTTCCATAGCTGAGAAATTTCAGCTTCTTGGGTACAGCTGAGAAAAAGCATGGAAAATGTAGCAGATTTTTCAAGGGATTAGTGTAAAAGGGAATGCATCACAGTTTGGCAGGACCCCAGGTAAGGAATGTGGAAGCTGGCACACTAGGGAGAAGCAGTAGTGCTAGGAAGCTGGGAAATGGGTGCTGATTAGAACTGCAGTTCAGCACCCACTGAGACTGAAGGATTCAGTTTATTGTCACAATCAGAAGGCAAATGGCATGTTTTTAGATTTAGCATAAGAAAACAACGGCTGGAAGAGACCTCAAGATATTATGTAGTATCCTCCTAAAACCAAAGGCAAGATCAGCATACCATAGCTATCCTGGCAGATGTTTGCTTGTCCCCTCCTCAGCCCCATGCTGGGAATTCCAGGGCCTTCCTTGGTGACCTGTTCCAGCCTTTGCTGTTATTACAGAGTGGCATGGAGCCTTGAACTGTCACAGAAGAGCAGAGGGATTCATTACATGGCATCAGTCCTTGTCATTTCATGATTTCAGTTTGTAACATTTGTCCCCCAGAGTAAAACCCTGGTCTTAGGACACCTCGGGGTTGCTTTTCAAGTCCAAGTTGTATCAACAGCCTGTGACTTGCATTTTATCACAAGATACCACAGTGCTTTGAGAGCAACACCACTGACAGAAGGAGGGACCTGCTGCAAAGGGTGACCTGGAATGCCAGAATGCACAGCATGTATTTGGGGCTTTTTTTGGCCCATTATGCATCAAACAAAACTGAGGCCCTTTAGTGTCTGAAGGAGTGACTCTCCTCTCATTGTCAGTTGTGACAATAAACCTGGGCTTGCCCTTCTGCAAGGTGTGGGGTTGCCTGGGCTCTGAACCCATGAGGTGATGAAGGGTTTCAGGCTGTACCTGTTCGCTTAGTGGAGCCAGGCTTTAACTGTTCAGATCACTGATCCTGTTGGTCTCTGTTTGTTGATGTATCAGGCACGTGGAGAGGATGTTGCATTCACTAAAAGAACACCCAGTTTGAGGATAATAAAATGTGGAAAACCCTTTGTTCCAGGCTGTCTCCTCTGTGGTTTCCCTGTATGCCTCAGCTGATGGGCATTCCTTTCTGCTTCACTGCTCTTCCAGGCCTTCCCTCAGTCCCTCTGTCCCCTGAGGCTGGGCACAGAAGCTGTAGCACAACCCTTGCAGCTCAGTGCTGTCTGCCACATCAGTCTCTTCAGATCTTACCATGTGCTCAATTGCCCCCTACCAGGAAATCTCTTGGAATATTTTATGTTTGAATAGAGAGGCATGAGAGCTTGGGGCTGAGCCGAAGATCTCTGATGTGACACGAGATATTGTGGTATCCTCTGAGACAGAGGACATGCAGTGCTCCTGGCTTCAGGTCTGCATTCTGCCATTAAAGAGCCTTTCAGAGCTGCAGTGAAAAGTGTCGGCTGCCAAGGCAGTACTAAAATCCCTGAGTGGGAGTCCTTATGCCGATTAGAGACCATGCGAACCAGTTTCCCACACCTGCATGTGGAAGACAACGTGCCCCGTCATGCAGCCTTCACTGCTGTCACCGTTGCCTTTGGTCCTCCCTGAAATAGCCTGTATCCCTGTTCCTGGCTGTGATGTGCCACCGCCCAGAGCCGGGGAAGACGTTGGGCTTTGCTGCCACCCAATGGGGAAGTGCAGCATCCTGATGGTGCTCGCTCAGGTCTCCTGACTCGGCTTCGTGCAAGCAGTCAAGATCTTGCTAAAAGCAACCCGAGAAATAGCACTGATTGCTTTAGAAGACAGGAGCTTTTTGCAGTGGTGATTTCTGTAGCTCTGTCTTGCCTGGCAGTCTTTGAATCATAAACACCATGAACAACAGAAGAGTTACTTTCCCTCTTCTACCGAGTGTGTCTATTATAGACATAACTATCTCGTTGGCATCTATTATAGATGATAATTGAATCTTTGTACAGGACCTGGGAAGTGTTTGAGGAAAGGAAGGTGCACCTTTGCTTTGCTGTGTAATGGTCCCCTTTGGTTATCAAGTGTTGCAGTGGCTAATGAGGGTTAATGAACCAAGTAACTGACAGCAAATGCTTTTGTTTGCTTGCAGATTGTGCTGGCTGTGGAAGAGACATAAAAAATGGCCAAGCATTGCTAGCTCTGGATAAGCAGTGGCACCTGGGGTGCTTTAAGTGCAAGGCCTGCGGGAAGGTCCTAACTGGGGAATACATCAGCAAGTAAGTAACCTTTGTGTCTCTTCTTCACTCTTGACATGAGCTCTTGTTGCTAACGGAGAAGAGCTGGCAGCAAAGTTCACCTGTCAAAATCTGGGTTTGTCCACCTTTACACATACACCAAAACCTTTGTTCCCAGTGAGAGCTGAGCTGGGAAAGGAAACAGACGTGCAACTGAAAGGTGGTGTTTAATCATTGTAGTCTGTATTTAATACCAGTACAGAAGGGGATATATCTCCATGCTCCCATAAAGGATTAGAAGAATTCCTGCATGTGTTTTCTCTGTTAGCCAGATACAACTTTTTTGCCATTTTGCTTTCTAAAATGCAATTTTGAGGAAAAAAGTAGAAACTTGTCCATTGCTTGCATTTGCTAGAGTAAATGTGATGTGATTGACCTGACACTGTGTTTCTCATCTCCATACATGAAGCTAATGAGGAGGGGTTTGAGCAGAAGAAAGTGTAGAGGAAAAGAATAGGGAAAAGTGGTGTAATGATAAAATAGAGGGAATGAAGATACAGTCTCTGTCGCCCCCTTCAAACATGTAATGAAGAAAGGAAATAGGGAAACAGTGTGTTTCACAAACCTGTCATTAAGGGGTGAATAACATTTAATAAAAGGTAGCATCTGTAATTTCTCAAAACAGAAATCCTCCTAAGCTGACTAATGTTTCCACTTTTAGTTTATGCTCCTTGTTCATACTGAATACCAACATAACTTTATACCTGGAAGTAGCTGCTTATACTCTCGCAGACTACCAAAGATTTTGTTGCTGATGTGAACAAAAACTACCTGCCTATAATAAAGACTGAGATCTCCTCTCGTCCTCATGGACATAAACTCCCTAAAACTGCACCACCTGTAGTCTGCTCTAAAAAATCAGATCTGCTTCAGTGGTTTGTACTGGATGCCTTTCCTTGATGGAAATCTAAGGAATAATTCTAAGAGGCACTAAGGAGAATATGCTGGGGCTTTTCCCTTCTATTACAAAATACTTCCCTTGAATTCTTTCCTATTTGCCTATTGCTGTGTGTAGGAGCTCCAGACAGAAAACAAAGGAAGAGTGTAAGTCATGCTGTAACCTCTTTCTTAAAAGGGGGTTTGTAATTTGTGGATTTCCTGTTTCAGAGATGGTGCTCCTTATTGTGAAAAGGACTACCAAGTTCTTTTTGGAGTCAAATGCGAAGCATGTCACCAGTTCATTACCGGGAAAGTCCTAGAGGTAGGTATTTTGGAAACTGGAGTTGAAGAATTGGGCCATGTCCCATTAAGTCTTCATGCAACTGCAGAGAATATAAAACTTCTCTTAGGAAAGGTTTTTTCTGCTGATTTTAGAGTAAAGTTGCTCATTTTTGGAAATACTTTCAACATTTTAGCTTTGCAGTCATCAGGAAAAGTATGCGATGGGGAATTAATTGCACTAGTTTCTATGAATCTGTGTTTCTTTTAATGGTGATGTGCAAAATCTATTGCACTGTTTATTCTGTATCAATTTGATGTATTTATAGAGGTAAGTTGAGTACTGGAATCACCTGTGAGAGAGGGAGAAATGTGCTAGTGAGGTAAATTATACATTCAGAAACAAGAAGGCAGAAACCATTGGAACTATCTCTTTTGTTGACTTTTAGTTGGAGTTCTCAGTGTTCTTACTGAAACTGGCCAGATCTTTTTAGAGATGTGTATTTTCTGTTGTTAGCACTGATCTCCATCTCCCATGGCTGTGATGGATTCCAGTTCCCTTTGAGCTGGAATCCTTGAACAATGCATGGATCCCTCTGAGTCATCACTGAAATGTTTAAAGGGCAAAAATGCAGGGAACCTTCCTTGTCACACCATCACTGAGATACAAAGAAGCAAAACTGGTACCTCTCTTGGCTGTAGCAAACTCTATGTGTTTGTTCTATGGAAAGAACCTAAGCTTTGAGCTCAAGTCTAGGGGTGGGCTGTATAGCTTGACTCCAGCTTTAGTGATTGAATGATCTTATCAATACATGGAAATAAAGCGTACTAAGTTCTGGGTAAAAGTAGAAAACTTCCTTCAGTGTTTGTGGCTTTCATTGATTATCAGGGCACAACCCATGATAATACAGTAGATGGCAGCAGTAGTTCTCAATATCTAAGACCAAACTGCTGAAGCCTGTAGAAGTTGAACTACTTATATAGTGCAACTGACTGCTATCTCAAGGGTGTAGTTTGGACAAGTCCTTAGAAACTTTCACCAAAAGAAATCCATACTATGTAGTCAGGGAGGCCATTCAGACAATTGGGTTAATTGCATCCAGTATGTATTAGCAGCCTGGATAGTCTATGAATAGGTATCATCTGGGAATGCAGATACGGAAGAGACATTCAAGCACTTTCTGCTACTAAACGGTGTTGAAAAGATGAGAAGATAGAGGTGAGCAGCTCATGTTCAATAATCAGAGCAATCTGTGAGAACTGTGGGCTCATCCTAGAAACCTTTTACACTGTCAGAGATGCAGAGTTCCAAAGGGCCAGTACCAACGCCTCTAAATTAGGCTAAAGGAACTGATAAGTCAAAGCTTAGGATGAGAAAAGCTTGTGTCAGCACTTGTATCGCACTTAGACAGAAAAGGTGTTCTAAAGGATGGGGTTAGAGCATGATTTAAATCTTCTGGTAATAATGGACATGAGAGATCAGAAGCAGTTACAGGGCCATGAAACATAATTCAGAGCACAGGATGCCACAGCTCAGGGAGGACTGCAGACCCATTTGGTGCAGGACATTCACAATCTCCTTATCCTGTATGGGTAATCACCCACAACCTTTCAGTACATCTCAAGTTTTAATTTAGATGAGATTCTCACAGGCGGATTAGTGTCTCACCTCTTTGTTTTCTTTGGCAAATTTGGATGGTTTTGATGATTTATATATCATGTGAGTTGTCTCTTGTGCTGCTGCGTCTCTTGGGAAGGAAACCACATTTCTTCATGTAAAGTAGCACAGTCAGAGGAATTATCTAGGTAAAGGTTGTGGCACATTGACCAGCCGAAGTTATAGCTACTAACATCCAGTGGGGGGCGGAGGGGGGAAACAAAAACACTTTGTATTTTACCTTTTTACTACTTTTGTTAACAATAATGGTAGTAGTAAATTCACTGATCATTATTTTCCATTTTGTTTGTCAATAAAATAATTTGTCAGGTGCAAAGCATGCTATTTCATCATAGTCATCAGTGATTAGAAGAAACTGGAGGGAAGTACATAGTACGCTGTGAGCAGACACTTCCCTCTAATGGATCAGAAGCGATGGGCAGCATGCCATTGTAGTGCTGTTTTATTTGTGGCTTATTCTTATAACATCTGGGACAGTCTACAGAAAAACTGAAGGGAAACGATGGCATGAAACTTCGCTTTGGGTTCACAGAGGCTGGTGGTACCTTTCTTCCAGTAAAAGATATTTTGTTTAAAATTATTATTTAAAGAGAAACTGAGATACTTTGCAACATTCTAGACTTGCAGCTCCTGCTTGGATTTGTCCCTCAGTATGGTTTAGCATGGAACATCAGGCTGTCGCAGTGAGCAGCCAGCAAGAGAGACCCGAAAGTCTTCATCTCAGAAGCAGCTCTGCTGTGCACCTGGTAGGCACACTCTGCACAGCCTGTCAGAAAGGCCAAGGTTTGAGTTCAAACTCTGAGAGTCAAGCCTTGAGAGGATGGACTCTCTCATCCCTCTGCTCAGTTGAGAAATGCATTAAACAGTACTTACTTTGCTGATGCCCACATATCATGGTAGAATGTCCGTTTCTCTAGGCCATGGATCAACCAACTTCCAATAGCCATGAAAATATGTAAGAAAAATATCATGTGCATTTAAGTCAGCTCAGATATTTCCTATGTATTATTTGGCACACAGTGACAGATGATAGATGAGTGCATGCCAACACAATAAATGTGGTACATTTCCAATGTGAAATAGATATTGCAACTGTCTTGAGCATACTGGATACTTTAACACATCATTTCAGGCAATGTTGTCAAGGCAACAGAGATCAGTGTTCTTCCTTGGATTTCTCCAGCAGAAAGGAATCTTTATTTATGAGGAATCACCAACAAGTGGTAAAAAACATTTTTATCAGGCATTAATGGCATAGTAAGAGTGGGGGTTTCACATAGACTTTCCACTAAGCTACTGTTTTCATAGCTTCAAGGCTTGCCTGTTGAAAGATGCCCATCAGATCCTAATCCTGCAAATTTCTGTGTAGAAATGTGTAACTCCACAAATATAAGTAAACTTTAGCACATATTGTGCTATTTGAAAGATGCTGGCCTAAATATTTTTTTGTCTAATGTGGTTATCACACACTGTGTAACTAATCCTCCAGGGCTTAACTCTTAAGTATGTCAATGAGAAGCTTTCTATTGACTTCAGAGAATGGTGAATTCTGCTTATATCTATGTATTTCACTTTTGCTTATCTAAAGTCTCTTACAAAACTTGTATGTGGTATTCTTTGAGTTTTGCAGAAGGAAGACATCAGGGCAGAAAGAGGTGGATATTTTTCATGAAATCACACAGAAAGCCCAAGAATAAGACTCAGGTCTTACAATTTTCACTTTTTTTGGCTCTTATTAATATGAACAGGATTTGATCTCATTATCTAGAGATGAATATATATATATATCAAATCCCTCAACCATCCTGCTCCTCTACCCATTGATTTTTATAACACTATTTGCTTCTTATTAATTTGGAAATGAATGGCCATTGTGTGATTACTCCTGGCTGTGCATAGCTCGAGTTCCTGTTCCAAGGGTCTGCTGCCTGCCCTGTGATCATCTCCTGTGAGCACTGTTGAAACTTGCACCCCACCTTGTAAGCAGTGGCCTAATGCCATTTCAACAGATGGACCTGAAAAGAGAAATGCCAGGGCACCAGAAGGCTCCCTTGACTTCAGCCTGCAAGGTCGAGTCCTAAATGTGGGTTTGATATTGTAATTTATGCTGAGCTTTCCCTGAGTTTTAGGAGGAGCAACTTAAGATGCAGTATTTAATGTGAAGGAGGTTTAGTACTTGTAGGTAGAGTTACTTTAATGTGCCAGAAGTTGAGGGTGTCTCCTCTGTGCTGCAACAGCTCTGAAAGATGTCAGTTCTGAGACACCTTGACTTCTGAAGTTAGAAAGAAATAGCAATAATTATGAGGGTGAAAGCACAAACAGCAAAACCTGCTATGGTTGCGTAAGGAGACCATGTCTGTGTTTAAGAGGCAAAGAACGTGAGCAGAACAGCCTGTGAGGTTCTTCAAGTATTGTTTTCAGAGCTAAAACCTGTGCTGTGAGGCGTTAGGATAAGTTTCTGCTGATACTTTTCATGTGAATGAGTTTGTTCTAAATAAATTAATAATGAGGAGGTGACAGAACAACATTGCTGGTTCCATACGAGCTGTAAGTGATTTATTCGAGCAAAGCCTGTTTATGTTGTTCAAGCATGTGCCTTCTGCCAGCACTTACCCATTTAAGCAACTTTGCTCGTGTGAGTATTTGTATTCAAATGCTTCAGTTGATTGACTTTCAGGGGAACCTGGTAGCCTACCTGCTTAAGTAATTTATTTAAGGAGATGTAGGCTTATAGCTCACATGAAAACATCACCTTTCTCTGCAATGACCCATGCAGTACAGAGTTCATTAGGTACTTCAATTATCCTCATGTTTCTTGTCCTGTTTTCTTAAAGCAGTACACTTTATAGACTGAGGAACCATGTAGAGAATCTCTTAAAACAAGCAGAGGTTTATTTCAATTCCATTCAGAAATGTTAAATGAAAGGCTAACATATATTTTTCTGCTGAATGAAATAATCAGCAAGCCTGTTTTCATAGTCATTATGAAGGAAGTACAAACAAAACATGCAATTGACTGGATTTAATGATGCAACCTGTACTGCTAATCCAGGTTGAAGTGATGTAAGTTTTTAGACACTTTCATAAATGAAGCAATTAATGAACTGAACAAGCAGTTATGATGGCTCCAAATTATTTTGGTGGTATGTTAAAGCTGTGGTAAAGAAATATCCCTGAAGAGTATATTACCCTTCTGTTTTCATGGCACCAGCCATTGTTTGGGTGTTTTGCAGGTCTGGGGAGACTTTGCTCTCAACCAGTACCTCCTAGTTCACACCATCATTGTCATCTTCACACTCCATAAAAATGCAGGGAAAAGGCTACCCATCAAATGAGAAGCAGCACTGGAGTCTTTGTTAGTTCTC